TTTGACTTTGAAACTAAGGCAAATTTACACATTCAATAATAAATAAAATATAAAAAATGATACAATATTACATAAACTAATAACTATTATATTCTGACTGTGTAACCCTCTGAAGACCCTGATATATTTTGAAAATAAAAAAGGACTTACATGACAATGGGCTTGGATAACTGGTTCACAAGCTCTCATCAGCAGGGCCTCAATCTGAATATCCTAAAATAAAAAATTTACATCATAAATTAGTGTATTTAATCACAGTATTAGTCCTAACATTTCTGTCAACTTATAAAAGCAATGCCATTCCAATTAAAGCTGCAAATAAGGCTGCACAACATATTGGAATCAAACTGAAATCACAATTTAAGTAAGCAATTACCAAACTGAAAAGGCTGTAATTATATAGATGATAGAATATTCTCAGCAAGCAACAAAAAATCCTGTCTTTTTATAGAAAAACCTTTTTGTTTTTGTTTAGCTAGGCCTCCACAAAAACGTTGGGAAATGCATGGTATTCTTGTATTAGTTCATCAGTTCATGTTTCAATCGTCTCTCAAATGTTAATGCTCCCGGAGCTGTTTACAGTGTGCACTCATACAAAATCTTACTTTTGAAACATAAATCACAAATCCAAGTGCAAGAACAAAAAAATTGTGTAGCCATAGCCATAGTTTCAGTAACAAATGCATACTTAAACTGCTAATTTTATTTAACATTTTGTTTAATGCAACTTTATGGTCTAAGACCACCCACTCCTCATATTGGTCATGCTCTGAGTCAAATCACAGTGAAGAAACAACACATAGCTTTACCTCTTCAAGACTGTATAAAAGATACTAAGAAAACGCAAATACAGATAAAACTGGATTCGTGTTCATGTTAAAAAAAAAAAATTTATTAATGATATGATAAATTTTTTGGCACATCGCCCAACCCAAATTATCCCCAAAACCATACTGCTGTGTAGTACTTTCCAGTGACTTAACCATCAATGTTCCTTAATGACTAGACTGTGACTTGTTTGTCCAAATATAGCCCATGATATCCTGCTCTCTCTCTCCTTTATGTACCCTTCATAACACGGCTTCATCAATGTCGCTCAGACTTCCTGTTATTCTCCTTTCAAGGTGAATGGCAAAATCCAACATTGTAATGTGCTTTAGATGTTTGGCCCAATGACAGATACCATGGAAACACCAAAACACTATCATTATGTAAGATGTAATGGAGTAGTTTCAAAGTGGTATGAATGCCGTTTTCAATCCGGTGTGAACAGATCATTCAAATTGTGCCTCCTGGTTCGTGGCAGTTTTAACCTCAGCATCTTTCTAACCATATATTCACTATCCCTCCCTCCTCTGTTCAAATGCCCTTCTGATGTAGTAATTTCTATTATCATCTATCATGACATATTAGAACCTCTTCATTTATGTCCCTGTAACTACTGCCTTTTTAAGAGAAGTGTTTCTATGAATCTGCGTCAGACCTGGTTCAGTCTCCATTCAATCCTGGTTTAGTCTTAGCTTGGTTCTGGTTCCATTTCAAACACAACTTTAATTTTAGCACATTGTAGTTCTGATTTAGTCCAATCTAGATCCTGCTTTAGTTCTATTCACGTTCCATATCTCCATATCTCCTATTTTATTAAATTAAATTATATGGCATTAAACTTCCATCTCCATTAAAAAAAGCAGGATCTGCCAGGACAAGTTACAGGTCAGTTCGGGGGAGAGTTGACGCTGCTGACAGTAAGAAAGATTTTCAGTGCAACAAAAACACCTGTAATTGGATAAACGTAAGATAAAAAACACAATATGAAATCTTCAAGGCAAAGCATTAACACCAGAAAAGAAATTTCTCCACAGGGATGATTAACAAGTTACTTAATTGACGTTTACCTCCGATTCAAGCTCGGTCAGGTTGCCCACCACATCTCTACAGTCCATGACCAGGTCCTCCAGATGGTCCTGCAGACACTCGAGCTCCTGTCCAGCCTCAGTCTTCTCACTACACCATTTCCCCAGGTCGGTCATACAACGCCTCTGCAGTTCTGGGTCCAGCTTCACATCCAGCGCCCTCTGGTGGAGAATCCTCTGCACCTCCACTTTACAGTCTCGGGACAACTACAAGGATAACCACAGATTTGAGAGTTAAGATAAAGCTAAGGATAAACTATTTGAGAACACATGCACTTATTGAGAAATAGGAATGCAGTTTATTAATTATATGCACCATCATTTAAGATTTATGATTTTACACATATAAAGTGAAAAGTCTGACAAGAAAAAACTATTACTAGCTCTCTCAGGATAAACATTTTTGTAGTATAAAGTATGGTAAGAGTTGGGATTATGATTTATTGTAATTTACAAATATCAATACGACTTGTACTGTGTGAAATGCTAACTATACATTTGCCACTGCCAATAGTAAATTTGACAAAAAATTTAAAAAGAAAAATGATAAATTATATATTTTTTTGCACGAGAGGATTTTTGTCCTCTCTGGTCCAACATGGCAGTAGCTCTGTTAGTCGAGCAGTTGCCCAATAACCCAAGTTAACAGTCTGATACTGTTCTGCTCTCAAGATTGCACTTGTGTCCTAGGGCAAGATACTTAACCTGCCTTGCTTTTTGTGTTTGTGTATACTGGTGTATGAATGAATGATTTGTTCCTTGATAAAAAGTCATTCAGTAACCAATATAGGGAGTGAAACATGATTTTAAGAGATTGCAAAATGGCCAAGCAATGCGAAAATAATATATACAAAGATTGAATACAGAATTAAAGTTTACATACATTGAAATGCACTGATTCACCCATATACATGATTTTTATAACCTATAACCATAGGAATTACTCTAGAATCAGGGTTGGCATCAGATCAACCAATCACAGGAGTATTCATTCATTGTCCCATTGCTGTAATTATCAGCTCCATCAGGTGAGGAGCAGCATGTACTTACAAACCAGTTCTGGAGATCCTCTGACTCCCCACTGGGCTGCTAAACAACAGGGCAGGTCAGATCTCTATCAACCA